CACAATTACCGGTCAACCGGTGCTTTACCGGTGCCACAATCCATTCGAATAATCGAGAAATCAAAATAAATAGGTTGCTCTTTTTTTCCCTATAGGCTAGATGCTTATTTACTGTGATTCAAGGGAGGGGATTATAATTTTTTCTTCTTTCTGTGTCATTTCAATGAAGTTTATATAGTTAAAAAAATATTTTAATTTGCAAAAAAGAATTAATTAGTAAAAACACTTTTTCCTCAGGATTAACAGACTAATGAATGAAATTAATTTTTATACGACCAAATAGATTATCCGTTTCTCGTTCAACCACAATGTGCATCAAGTTATACTGATGCATGCTACATTTTATCTAAATTTAAGTACTTACATAAATACCTTTTTTCTTTCAGCTTCAAGCTTTTTCCTGTGAGTTAGAAAAATTCTAACAAGAATTTTAAAATGCAATCCAAATTCGGATTCAAAAATCGTCGCTTTTCGAAGATGACCCTTGGAAAGTTTGGCCTGAAAACTTATATTCCATTCTGCGATATTAATATGCCGGTTCTTTCTGTTTGAGTATTTCAATCTCTCTTTTTAGAGTACTCTAATCAAAAAGATTCATGTCACTGAGTCCGAAATTTTACAAAGACTCATGAGCAGTTATTTACCTTTTGTTTGATAAAAGAGAAGGTGTTTTTTATTTTAACTTTAGAAAAGCTGTTATAATAGGCTAGTTCATGAAAGCTATCAGTAGTTCATTATCTACAAGAAATTATTCATACAGTGTTCCCCCTACGAATATGCACATAGATTGTTTCGCATGTAGAAAATAATATTACAAAAAAAGGCCTCCAGTTTACCGCTTACAGGGAGTGTTAACAGAATTCAAATAATTTCGGAGATGTTTTATGAATGTTTAAATATTTAAGTATTTATTATATATGTGTTTGATCTGATGTCCTTTTTTCTGGACTGTCTGCATCGTGCTTTCTATGACAGAAGGGCTTTTCATAAAATTGCCAGGAATATTGCTCTCCGTTTCCCTTTTGCTACTTTCAATCCATCGGTCCATCGGAGTCCATCGGTCTGCATAAGTTTGCGCTTAGAAAGAAGTCTTTTCAGCAAGTCAGAGGCACAAAAGTTCACAAACGTAATGTCATGGTGAGGCTTTGCAGGAATATTTTCAAAAGATATACATGCAATATTTAGAACAGTCTTCAATTTGATTTTGAGAAATATAGCTGTAACTCTCGAAGTATGACTGGTAGCTTTACTTGTAAGATCTGTCCCTTCTATTCCACATAAACTAAACTAGATCCTATAATGAACCTGGTGAATTCTCGTACAGGCTTGAATGAAATACCAGCACAGAAGAGTGAAAACTCGTTATTAATTCCAGTTAATAACAGAAAGGCACGATCTTCTGTGCTTTACAATAACACCGTCTACTTACGGTGAAACTTAAACGTAGAATATAAATCAATTCAAAGTCTAATTAGAATAGTGCTGGATTAGCACGCTAAAGTATGGCTATCCTAGGTTGACTCAACAAAATCTAACAGGCGTGACAATTATCCGAAAGGGCCAAGGGGCGTACCAGCGAGATAGCAACGAAACGTGCGCTGGCTAGTGAAAACACGCTCTGAATAAACTCGGAGATTTACCCGTTTAAATACTCACTTCACTTAACTTTAAATTTATATCCTGGCGAGGAAATCCGAGGGGAAGTTGAGGAGTTCAGGAAAGGTATCAAACTTAAAATAATTTGTTATTCAAAATAAGGAAAACCCTACATACTTTAACCCAGATTTACTCTCTGAAAGTCGTTGGGATAAAGCAACGGATATTTATTATATAGATATCTTCCGTAAAACATTTTTCTGATACATTGAGGAGTTGATTTTAATAATTTTTCTCCGCTTTTCTTATTTATAACTTCCCATTTGCAGAAACCTGCAAAAATTATAAACCCTTTAACACAATTTGCTCTGTGTTACCGGAACCAAACTGCATATATTTTTCTCTTCATTTGTGATAACAAATAGGTCATCTTTGTTGCAATCATTTACTAAGCCAATTCTATATCAACAGTCACGATGTATTTCTATTTAACTTCAGCGTTCTATAACGTTTTCCGAGTTCAGCCACATGGCTCACAAACGGGAGGTGAATATTTATTTTTATTTTTATTTTTTTTATTTTATTTTTTTTTTTTTTTTTTTTTGCATTTTTAGGTTTTAAATCTTTGATGTAGCTGCAGAGGTATTTAAATTTCCGCAACTGATTTTTGTGTTGGTGGGTTTTTGTTATTACCAGAGGATTAACTTTAAAAATAAAATAAAGAACGAGTACGTTCCATTTTCCCCTCTTCCTCCGCAGTCTTCTTCCGCTATTAACGGGAGCGGTTTCCCTTTTCGAATGAAAATATTTATTCTTTATTTAAAAATGTTAATATCGTGCGTTTCGAAACATTTTTGAATTGCATAATAAAAGTACTTTTCTTCGGAAGGACAATATTATCTCCTTCGATACACAGCTTAATTATCTACGATAATTTTATAGAAAAGTAAGTTTTAGTGAAGTAATTATTTTTCATTTCAAGTTATGAGATTTGGCCAGAAATTTTTATTCCGAATATTTATAATTTTTAATCATTTATTGAAATATTTCTAAAATTTGATACTTTTCTACGTTAATTAAAAGGATGAGTCTTTTATTGCAATCAAGTTTGTGTGCTATTGTGTGCAGTCAAGTTTGTGTGCTACACTTTTGTGTAGTATGCAGTAATGAGAAGAATTTTTCTCTTTAGATGGATATAAAATTTTATTAATTAAATCAAGAAATTTATCAGTCTCAGATACTTTAAATTCATTGACATATAACATTTCTTTTGATTTCCAGGACTCTTATACTCTGAAGACTATCAAAATACAAAAAAAGAGATATAATTAGGTGAATTATTGACTAATAATTTATATAAAATCCCAAGTATAAAACAGTACTAACTATCGCACCTTATTTAAATTTTTTTAGTACAGGATGATTCGAAGAGATAAAAAAAGGGCACTGATTTTTGTGAAATATATATCTGTATTTGGAGATACAGATACTTTCCGAAGCAATAGAGAAGAATCTGTTTGGTTTCCATATATCGTTGTTTTAGTACTTACTCTTGCATTTTTCCCTTTATGATTACTGTTCAATACAGTTTTTTCAGTTTTTCGTCTTTTTAAAACTATACGTAATATAGTTTTTTTTAAATTCAAAACACAGCTTTACACAGATATAGTCTGCCATATCTCAAGTAGCAAGCTTTTTACAGAATGTCGGCATTCCGGTTGTAAACGTACACTTAAATAATTTGATTATACATGGTCCTTCATATCCATCTCCATTTAAACAAAGTTTTTTTTAAGCTAAAAAATTATGAATAATAGGCATGATTTACGATTTTGCAATTTCTTCACACTAAAAAATTAGTACTTTTACTTAAAAATTTATAGAATTAATTTGTAAATTATTGGAACTTATGAATGTATAGCATAGTTTATGGAATTATTATTCAACGTTTTAGTTATATATATGTAAAGTTGAAAAGAAGTAGTAACTTAACTTCAAATTATCGATTTAAATCAGCGGTCGTCAACCCTCAGAACTTCACAGACTACTACATATGTAATTTTATATTTGGCGGATCACTAATATGAATTTTAAAAAAAGGTAAATTCATTTATACAATAATAATCAGCAAACTACACCTATTTCGTTCACATTGAAAAATTACATGAAAAGTACAAAAATCTTACCTTCTTGTATAGAAAGTTTCACATTTCCATATCACTGAAAAGGAACTTCACGAAAAGCAAAAGCAAATCGGCAAACGCAAAGCAATATCAATAAACTGATAGTGTTATGCCCTCAATTTTTAATTATTGTAAACATGATAATCTTCGCTTACTCAGCAATGGCGCCATCGATCAACAGTTAAACAAAACAAAAACGGAAACTTCCAGTGATGGAATTATAAACAAGAATGCAGATGGTTCTCATTAAAAAGCCCATTAAGTCGCCTATTGACATGGAGAAAAGCTGTGTTATTAACTACTACAATAGCATATGTTATTAATTAATAGCATATGTTTGTAATTCAAAAGGAACGAGAATTCCAATTCGCGCTAATATTGGTTACAGCAACAACTCTCACTTTCAAATGTCGCTAGATACTACATCTGCAAAAGTAGCTAAAAAGTCGCTGAATTCAGAAGGTATTTTGCTAAAAGTTTAGCTAAAATGTAAAAAAAAAAAGTATTCCATTATAGGTTTTGTTAGTCGTCAATTTTTAAACTGAATCTTCATAAAAATATAAATAATGTCCAATTTTTCTGCGGACCAGGAAAAAGTTATCACAGACCACCAGTGGTCCGTGGACCACAGGTTGGCGACCGCTGATTTAAATTGCAGCTATAATCGCAAAAAATATCCCAGCGTAACAATATTTTCCTTCCTTTCACTCCCATATCCCTCAGCTCTTTTTGGAGAATTCCGAATATCTAATTTGATTTTACTTACATTTTTTGTAGCATATAATTTTATTTAATGTAGTGGCAGATAGTTTTTGAACAACGTTCATTCCGATTTAAATCCAGAATTTTGGGTAAATAAATCAAATTATTTGGGAGAAAACCTTTTAGCATTTAAATAATTATCCGTGGCAGTTTAAATAAATTAAATAGTGAGTAAAACATTTTTCAGAACTTCATTGTAGAAAACTAATATTTTTATTTACACTCTTTAATTTAAACTTAGCTTAAAATGTTTTGTTATTCAATTTTTATTCGTTCAAAAATCAACTACTGATAATTAATTCCATGTATATCAGTTTAACGAATTTTTATGAAGCATCAAATTTTTTGCGATAGGATTTTGTATATCATGTTTTTACTTTTACAAAATATAGCGCTTTTTGATCATAAGATTTTTGCTTCCTGGAACTGAAAAGCTAACACAGTGATAATTCCTTTCAGTTCCTGTGCCAAACTGGAATCGGTGCCAGAGGCAGGGAACGGTAGTACCACATCAAACGGCGACAATCAATTAAACAACCGCAGTGGACGACCCGAGGCAGACCTGAGGTATGGATGCTTACGTCATCCCTCCTCTCTCTCCCATCCCTACCTATTCCCCAAACCTCCTTCCTATGTCGTCTAATAGTTTGTAGAAATAACTTATTCCATCTTGCATACATTATATCCTCTTTCAAGCAACTGAATAGCCAGCCACCGGTCTCTTGTATGCGCTTCTTTAAAATAACATGACACATTGTAAGAAAGATAATATATTACCATTTAAGTTTAAATATTCATTTTTGCTATTTTTATAGAAATAACTTCATACCTATACACTAAAACTAATAAACTAATAAACTTAAGTAATGTTAAACAAACTAAGATTAGAAAATAACATTCTAAAGTTTCAGTTAAATGCATATGATTTCTGCAGCCTAATTGATTACATAAAGAGAGTAATTCCTGTGCACATCCAACATTTCAGTCATACTTTATAATTGGGAACAAAATAATTTTCGAATGTTATAAGATCAGTAATTCTTTAAAATAATTTATCAAGCAACAAGGGAAAAAATTCTTCTTAAGCAATACAAGCGTTAATAACTCCTGAATGAAACTAATTTATATGTAATGGAGTGCAGTCCTTCCTTGTCATCTGTCATAAAGAAAAATGCCTGAAGCAGTAATACTTTAAGAAAGATTAGAAGATGATTGGAATTTAGAAATTTTATGACTTATGTATGTAATTAAATAACTACCTGGATCTTTGTTATGTCTTGCCATTTTATTCAACGAGATTATTATGTATATTTGAGGTCACAAAAAGTTTAAAAAAGCTCCGATCAATAATAAAGCAGAAAGAAACATAAACTGCAACAATTTTTAAAATCTTTATCTCACAATGATTACATTCCTTTTCACTTAAGATAATTAACTGGTTGAAACCCCAAAATTTTTTTAATTGTTTTAGAAGCTATAAAATGGCATAAGTATTCCACTGAGATTTAGATTCATACTTTTAAATCCTGTGGCATAGAGACAAACTAACTTGACATCCGTTCAAAAGAATCGTCACTGCAAAGAAAAGATAGAGTGTAATAGATGACAAGGGATTTTCAATTTAATTTAAGAAGTGACGGAAGATGGCGAACACATGCTGTATGCTGGTAACTTAATTTCAGTTTATCAGTAATTGCTACAAAAATAACAGCTACATAGTGATAAAATAACTTTACCTCAATGAACAATTTAAGGTTTTAAGTTCTTAACAAAAATAATAGTTATTGTTGTTGTTTTATTTTAAAAAATAAGTTATCAAAGTACATTCTAAATTCTGAAATTCTTTAACAAAAATAACTTCAAAAAATTGTGCATTTGTTTAAAACAGCCGCCACTTTAGAAACTGAAATATTTAGTGTGAGATGTAAACTTTGTATTACTTAATATTAATTTACATTTTCTCAGCAAGGTTAAAACTTTCAATTTTGTGAAACATCTATTCCCACTTACAAAAGTCAACAACATATAATATTCTTATAGGTATAATTTTTCTCAGCCTTAATAACTAAACCTTGTTTACGAAGGTAAAAAAAATAGCTTAAATATTTCACAACTTTTTTTTGTAAAAAACTGTAAAATTTTAAACCTACTTAATTTCATACTTCAAGATTCATCTCGTGCGTTTCTGTTTATCAAATTGGTAACGGAACTCTGAAAGAAGAACGGATTTTGCCTTCTTTCGCACGGTTGTTCAGCGATTGATATAAAAAAAAATAAGAAATAGCTCGCATATATTTATTTGAAGTATCATCAGTTTCTAAGTCTTCGTACTCTATCACAGTTGCTATATTTCGCAAAAACCTACTTGCTCTTTGTTAAGACATGTAGAGCATAAGAATTTTAAATCTTCTTTTCTAAGACTCATATTTCGCAATGATGATTATCGGCAATGCTCCAAGATTTTCTAAACTTGCGACATAAGTTATGGCTGTTATATTTACCGAATGCATTAAAAGCGAAGGATGTGCGCAGAAACTGATGCATTTCAGGGCTGTTTAATCGATTGCAACATGCTTTCTCTCTGAGCTTTGTAAAGCTCACAGCGCTTGCTCATTACAGCTGGCAAATACGAAACGTAAATAATACTGGAGGCCTGCTGACGCTTTTATAATTAAGACCTAAGCTCCTTAAGTGCTAAAAATCAGGGTACGTTACCATCGCTTTTAAGTAGCTAGATGCACGTAAACCTTTCAAATCATGCATCCCATTAAAGAACATAAAAATAAAGAATAAAGCGATTTCTGTGAAGCTCATAGCAATTAGTTTTCAGCATATAACAAAATAATTCATTGCTCATTGATTTTATAGACTTTAATGAATTAATTTTGAATTCAGGTGCTGCTGCGATAATAAGTTATGTGAAAGTAATTCAACTTAGTGGACATTCAAGATATAAAATTCTATTTTAACTTTTATATTCACGCAGAGGGATAAAATAATTGATAGCAGCTTTTTAAAAGCAGAACTATATACTCCTTAATAATTAAAAGCGAATAAATTTTAATGCTTTTCCCTTAACCCAAACGAAATAAATCAGCTTTGTTTTTAAAATAACATCATTTTAAAATACGTAAGATAACGAGGTCCTTCTATCGTAGGCCCGAGTTAAAGATTAACTAATTTAACCAGATGCAGACAGAATGAGAAATAACCCACAATTCTGAATTATTTATAGACGATTGCGTAATGTTCTTGGTTTATCGCCGGATAAATATAAATGCATATGTAGCAATTATCAAAATGAAAGATACTATTTTACAGATATAACTAACTTCATTATGACAAGATCGATGAGATCTCAGCCATAACAGGACTACAATTCATAAGTCCATATAAGTTTATCAATGCAATGAAGAAATATATAATTGCATTTTACTGTATGGGACTGCATCTCATCCAGCTGCGAAGGAGTTGAAATAGAAAGGGCAAGAATTCCGGCAGCATTTTGTTACCTACAAATAGGAACTTTCCAATGAAATAGCTGCTTAATAAAAGTCATTCAGCTACCAAAAGGGCTTGTGGAAATTTAAATGTAGTCCTTATTTGCTAGCTAATACATTGAAAGTTACTTAGCTTTGCCTGAGCTTATGGCAACGCAGTTTATGAAATTTATCATTCAGGCTGTAAATAACTTAAAATTTCATAATGAACGGTGCCTTCCTTTCAAATCACATGTTTCTGAATTTAGCCTTGGTAATTGATGTTTATCAATGGATTTCTAATTTACTGTATTTTCGAATGCTGCATACAAACCTTTCTGAATCACTTTCATAATGAAAAGCTTTGTTCAGAGGCGTAGCTTGGATTTTCAGCACCCGGGGACAACTGAAGATTTTGCGCCTCTTTGTGCAAAGAATGGAAAACATTTCAGTCTGCAATTTCATCACATCAATTTGGCGCCCCTTGGATGCTGCGCCCGGGGACAGATGTCCCCCCTTTCCCCACCCTAGCTACGCCACTGGCTTTGTTTTTGCATTATCCTACATTTATCTGATGAGTAAAAATATTCTTTCTTAACATTGGCTAACCGGATCAAACAAAAGACTGCATCGTAAGGAAGGTATGACAAGGAGCCATGCGTTTTACAGTTCATTACTTCCACAACTTCTATGTCTGCATCCTGTAAAAATTTGAGTACGAAACTCAAACTCTACATATCCAGGTTTTTTTCTATATGTAAATTGAAATATGCAGTAACGTTCGGGTGCATTATTCTTGAAGTGTTCTACTCATAATGCAACATTTTGGGAACTTCGTCCCCTATTTTATATATTACATGCACATAAAAATAGTACTCAATTTTTGCTGCCCAAATGGGGAAGTGGTTAATGACTCTGACTACCGTACCCAAGGGCCTTTGAATCCCGGAGAGGGGCATAGATGTAAATTGTCTGTCCCTTCATAACGGAAACGGTGGGCGCCTATTAGGTTCCTCCATAGTAAAATGACCATCTGTGGCTTTAGTAATGGTGAAAGGCGAAAATGGCTAGTACCCGCCCTTAAGAAAAGTATATCTTTTCGTAAGTAGATGATTGTCATTTCAGAGTGTACTGACTAATTCAATTAATGCACTGCAAGAAATTCATCGCCTGCTAGCGGCTGAGGCAATTAGAATTTCTGAACAGTGGTAACTCGACAGGGGTTTAGGTCTCCTCGAATGAGCGTTTTCGTAATTTCCCCATATGTAGAATGCTAACTAATTTCTGTGAGAAAGTGCTTTAGGAAGACATCCCTAATGAAAATAACCTTTGTGGGCTTTGAACTATTGCATAAAAACAAGTAAAAACAAGAAATTATTCTTTTTCTGTTTATAGCTGATATCTCTTAGCATACAGTTCATTCTGCTTTAGTTTCCAACTTCACTGCATCACAAGCTTTACAAGAACGTATCTTTAGTTGAAGGCTTGAAATGCAAGCTGAATTTAGAGCTAAAAATGTCGTAATAGATTTTCCGTTTAATATTCTTTTCCAACGTTTTTACACTATTCATGATAAAGATAATATATTTTACTTGTTATCAGTGCTGACTATCCGCAATTATTTCTCATTATGAGAGAATGGACTTGTTTATTTGCTCAAAAAAAAGAAGGAGAACTCTGGGAACAAGCAGGGTACTGTCACTTTGTGCTAAATTTGCAAATTGAATAGCTAGTTAGTTAAAGCACTTCGAACTTCCGTAAACATAAATAATTCCATTTTCATGAAAACTAGAATTAGTTACCTGTGCTCCGAAACTTCCATAATCAAGACATTAAGTGGAACCACTATTCTGTCAATCGATAATTTTACCTCAAGTTACGTTGTAAGGTATTTTCTTCTTCCTTACCGTACAGCTTCGTGGTGTAACTGGTGGCGAGTCTGGCTAACTTCGGAAAGTCAAACGTTCGAATCTGGGAGAACGCACCGTTGATTTTTTATGTTCCTGGTTCCAAGTTCAAACTAATGATTCTACAAGCGAAACCCAAACTAAAATGTTGTTGACGATAATTCGTTACCACATTGAATTG